AATTATTGATAAGATTAAAACTAGTGGATGAGGTACAACAAGTTCAACTTAAATTTCAACTTTTTGTTGTTACTGATCATTGTAGTGTATCACTAAATTCAGTTTGCAGTCATGTCAAAAGATCAAACCGGTGTTAAGAAAACTAACGATGAATTTGTTATTATTTTTCGGCCAGACAACAGCTCTAGTGTAGTAATGATGCAATGAGCTAAACATAGAAGAAATCAACTTAATTCTCAGTAGAAAAAAACAAACTTTTTAAACTGCCCATCCGGAAAACATCACCCAACCAGTGGGAAAGTGAATTACAGAAAAATTAAAACACTTAGCAAAGAATTTAACTGACAACAGGATATACCATGGACTGAAGCTTAGAGGACCTATATTACCCTTCCTATAAAGCTAACCAAATGTTAAGGGGAACATAAAGTCGATATTCCAATGAAACCAATACTACGTACGGTTAATTAAATGACACAAAGTAGCTCGGTAGCCAGCGAAACATCTGACAATAATCCCTGTCAAATTAACTGACCAGAGTTTGAAGGACACCTTTCAATCGGCTTTTATGTTAGGGAATTTGAACATCTCAACTAAATTCATAGTTTCATCATTTGACATGTTGCCCTGATTTACAAAGAGCATACTCGAGGAGACTATACAAGTTATATGTGAATATTCTGAACTTTTTCCACTGTCAAAGAACGAACTTAAGCACCAACTTAACATTGAACTAAGAGCTGCAGATGTTTTGTCCAGGACAATCAAAGCTTGGCAATTAAATTACCCAATTCAGAAAACAGAATAACAAAGACCGAATTCAATGATGTTTTATGTCGTCCAATTGATGAATTCGCTATGACAAGTTCGTTGGGTTCGTCATTTTCATGGGTAACATGGAACAAACAAGAATGAATTCTAAGTCAATCAGACAGACTTCTATAACAGTTATGTCAATGACACATTTTCTCATCTGAGTGTTTTAATGATGCAGCATAGATATCGAATCTCTTGCACAACGCACACACCAACATAAAATTTACGCTGGAACATGAGCGTTTCATTTTATCAACGTGTTAAAGGCGGTAAAACTAAGATACATCCATAGAAAAGAAACGTGAAGAATACACTATCTGAACTTCAGAAGATTCTGTCCTATGTAGTACAATTAAGGATAGGTTAGAATACTGTTCAGCAGTGTAAAAAAGCTTTGAACAAAGGAATAACTCGTAAAAGTTATTCATTATGGTGAAATGTATGAGTGTTAGTCGTTATCCGTACAAGTTCATCGATAAAAACAGAAAATCTAGTATGCAAAAGGTGAAATGCAGAACAGTGAAGAAAAAGATTCTTCGCAAAGGTGATGATACTGTCAGTAGAATAAGATGCAGACAGAACCCTTTACCAAAAAAAGAACATACCAACTGTCAAGCTAGTCTGTTTGTGTTACATGGATTATTGTTTAACACAGTCGCAAGTGAATAAATTCCCGCCTTACCTAACCGCCTACTGAATCTACGAATTTACAAGTGTCACAGCGCATACACTAGAAGAATAGAGAGAAAGGTTAGTGTTAGCATTTTTGAACACGTCCTGTAGTACTTGAGACTTAGAAGGGTGAAAGGTACTAAATAGCGTGACTGCATGTACTTTTCCGGACACTGATTATATTGTGGACAGTGTGAAGGTGTTCAAAGTAATCAACAGACAAAAAAAGATACGACAAACCTGTTACGTTTCGCTGGGACGATCGTATCCTTAACTGAACTTAACGACTTAGGAATCGACTTGTTACCAGGGAATAGTCTTATGGACTTAGAATATGCAGATGACATTGTCCTGTTAGGGGAGGATGCTGACAAAATGCAGAGTCTTCTGAACACCTTGAGCAGCAATCTTCGTATGTTTGGCATGCGATTCACCCCTGTAAAATATAAGATGCTGCTACAGGACTGGACTACGTCAACTCCTAGCTTAGTGATAGGGAGAGAAGTGATAGAACATGTTGACCACTTCACCTATTCGGGAAGTTGTATCAGCACCAACGGATTGATTGGTGACGAAATCTCAGCACGGATCCAAAAAGCTCGGGCTGCTTTCGCTAACTTACACCATCTGTGGCGTAGGCGTGACATCCGGCTGTCAACCAAGGGACGTGTATACTGCTTATCAGTTCGCTCCATCCTTCTTTATGGCGGTGAGACGTGGCCATTGAGAGCGGAAGACATGAAGAGACTGTCTGTTTTTGACCACAGATGTTTACGATCTCTTTCTCGCGTTAGGTGGTATAATAAGGTAAGTAATGTTGACGTTAGGCGTAGAGTGTTGGGCAAAGAGGGAAAATCACCCGAAGAGGCTATAAAGTTACATAGATTGAGATGGTTAGGCCACGTGCTGCGCATGCCTAACCATCGTCTCCCCCGACGGGCATTACTAGCTGATATAGGTGCAGGTTGGAAAAGAGTAAGTGGTGGCCAAACAAAAACATGGCATCAATCAATCCATGAAATCCTTAACAGTTAAACTGAGTCAGGTAGGGAGATGCAGACTTCCGGGTTGGGGCCCTCGGGACTTCAAGAATCAATGGTTGGAGACAATAGGTGACATGGCTCAAAATCGTTGTCAATGGCTTACGCAGATGTATTCAGTCTCTGTAATCTTTCATATTCCTTTCTACCATTACTCATTCTGTTTCACTCTTATACTTGTCAAAACTCTATTGATTCTCTTCACTCATATTCTTGTCTACCTTTGTGTGCTATTTGGAACGTGGCAACTCGAACTGCTGCACTTCGGTGCCAGGTTCTATGTTGAATCCAGACAGACAGGAGGGACGATCGTTATCAAACAGTTAGGCGCGAATTTTCGGTCATTATATTCACAAAACAAAGTAATACGATTTTATCATGTCATTTAGTCTTCTGCATCATTTTTTCCTTATCAAATTTATTTTTTTGTAGCTGAACGTCACTCACCTTACTGCTTTGGTTATTGTGAACTATTCTTCGTGGTTACGTAACCCACCATACTAACAAAATATTTCTAATCAGACTTTGTTTCTATCTACATTCCGAACTTTCTCCTTTTTTTCTTTCGTGGACAATATTTGTCTAATCATCCTACGAATAGTCAAAGGTTTTAAAACTTAATAATTTATTTGCTAACATTATTACAGACTTGCATTCATTATAGATCCTGTTAATAATTAGTTGTCAGCGTGATAAAAGTATTTCCAAATGATGGTTTGTAGGGGTCTCATTGATTTCAAGTCAGATCCCAAGTTGATATCAGTTAGAGAACCACTTAAAACCAGGGGATATTGGACAGAAGTATGCATCCCTGACGATGACTCTGTATATTGTGAATGCACAGAAGTTAGAATTCATCGGCTATTGGATTTCACCGTAGCCTTTGAATCGTCTCATAACCAGAAGGTGCTGAGGTTCGGTCGCCGGTGATGTCACAGGTGTGCAATGACGAAGAATGCCAAAACAGCTAATCAGTACTCTTTAGTTTTCAATGGCTCTCTAACCAACGTTAGCTCATGATCTGGCATGATAAAGATATGTCCAAGCATTTTTGTAATTCAAGTACTTTGGTATGGTTCAGGTTGTATGCAATTGAAAGGAATCCTCGGAATAATATAAAGTGAGCCCGTGTTCTCTTGCTACACAATTGTTGTTCTTGATTTGTTCAAGACTCCTTATCCTCTAAACTTAACACTGATTCTATAGGTTCTGCACCATGGGTGAAATCTATCTTTAAATGTAATAAGAATAATAAGAAAGAACGACAATACCAAAGATATGGAAAATATTATTGTAGTTAAAATGAAAGAACGACAAATAAGAAAACATCACAAGCACATTTAGGAAGTCATGCGAATATTTGAAAACTTTCTAGGAGTCACAAATTATTCCACTATGGAATCACTTCTATAATTCAGCTAGGTTATTGCGAAATGGTTCTGTGTTTAAAAATACTTCTGTTTAAATACTGTTTGACATTCATCTTGTTAGTAAAATACTACTACTATTACATGTCACTAATATCATTGACCTTAATAAAAGCATGCAACCATATACAATTTTTAACGCTTATTAAATTCACAGTACTTGAATCAATCGACTACATGCTGTACAACACGCAACTTCAAAACTACGTTCACTTATAGTCCAAAAATAATAGACAAGCAATTATGTGAAGAAAATTATACATAAACGTCATTATGTGGTAATGATGAGGCTATGTAGCTAGTTAATTGGTATAATTTGGGTAATATGAGTTATTAGATTGCAGCTCATGGGTTGAAAGCAGACAGTGATCTAACTGAGCCTGATAATTCTACGCCTGATTTTCAGTGGGATAAGAGGTTTCACAGTGCGGGTGAAGATGAGGTACATTGACCTAAGCACTCCACTTTTAGCCAATAGATAACAATTTTCTTTTTAAAAGGAAACATAATCGTCTAGGTGAAGTGTATGAAGTCTCATTAAGACTCGTTTCATCAAGTTATTTTCCCAAAATAGGTTTTGATTGTTTTCAAGTATTGGTTTTGTAAGGATTTTTGTTTGATTGGTTGAGGGGGATTTCATCATGAGCTGACATCAGTTAGGGTACAATTGGAAAACATAGGAGTACTGGACAGCTATTTCATCCTAGTTTGAGACTCTTCATCAGTACGCACCCACCGGGTCATGAACTGGCAGAAGTTAGAATTCATGGACCATTGGATCGAGTCCCAGTGACTTAATGGTCTACGAACTAGCTCGCCTTGTGATAAGTTTCTGGGTTCGAACCCCGCCGGGTGCGTACTGATGGAGAGTCCCGAACTAGGATGAAACGGCTGTCCAGTATTCCTAGGTTTTCCAGTGGTTTTCAGTGTTTAACAGCCATTAGAAATCAGACATTCAGTAGGACGGCTGACTTAAGATAAATACACAACAGAAGTGTATAAAACAAAACACGAAAAGTTATACAACAGATTATCAAGTAATTACCTGCAATCCAACACTAAAAGCAGCCAGAAAAGGAGTCCACGCCAATTTAAACATTGGTCGAACATGTTCACAGTGAGTTGCACAAGTAAACTCAGATGGGCTGGATATGGCCTAGAATTTTAAATTACAAATTACAAAAAATTATCGCCATTATTGAGTTAAGATAGGTTTTTTTATCACATCACTTTTTTCCTGTTTCGACATTTTCAATAAGTCCTGAACCATTTAAAAGTGGCGGTGTATAAAACGAAAACATTGTGAACAGAAAGGTTCACGTGATTTATTTATTCACGTTAGTCAAAGTACAAAAATTATACTAGATACACAAGTACATTGTACTAAACTGTCATTGACACACATGACGAAAATTGAACAAACAGTCCATGATATTGAAATTCAAATTACGCTTGAAGTGAAATCAATCATGAAAGATATATTAAACCAGTGAGCAATATATGCAGTTAAACTGAATAGATTTTGAACCTTTTACCATGAGTGCCTATAAAAAGGGGTAGTGACAGGTTAGTTAGAGTTGAGAAAGTAACTCAAGTTCCTAAAAGTTCTACAGGTCAATATGACAAGTACTAACAGCTAAAGGCGTCCAATAAATTGTCTAACTACTTGAATTCAAACACAATCTTTTGGACACATAAAACGCCAACTATAATGATGATTAAAACTTTTAAATTTACTGAGTATTGGAGAATGTACTATACATTGGCACCAGGATGCAGCGGGCTATTTCTTGTAACGCAGTCCAGGACAGGCTAAAATATTCTTTAACGAAACATTATGTTACTAGCATAAATCCGATAAATCACGTATACAAAGGATCACATTATCCATTTAGATCACAGTGAACTGATCAACAATTAGACCTAAATAAAGTTTATAACAAACAACCATAATTACTCATAAGTTAAAAATTACTTATCAAGATAATGATAACAAAGCAGTTGTACTTACAGGATCACCTAGAACTTCACTATCTCCTGCTTGCCGTCGACCATCTAGTTTAGAACTAAGTTCATTAGATGCAAAACCTTGACTTAGTTTAATCACATTGTCCTCTGCCCTTAATTTTAATCCAGCATTTGCAATTTCATCATAAATTTGGGCCAAATAAGATTCAGGTAAGTCTTGACTATCATTAATGCCACGATTTATACGTATATAATCATCCTTTAAAAGTAGTAAAACATAATAATAATAATAATAATAATAATAATAATCAATAAACTCTTAATTCTTTTAACTGCAACTCTATGATAATACTGACTCGATATTATCAACCAGCATAACAAACGTTTCTTTCTTCGAACATAACTCGTTTTACAAATACTAAATACGTTTACCTTATATGATTAATATCTTTGTATCATCACTGAGGTACAACAATTGACAATCTACAGAAACGCCTGGAAGGCATAGCAAGGAACTTTCAAAAACAGCTTAGCTGGCTCTCAACGTCAGCCGTAATTGATCCATGACTGGCAACAACCCACGTGTGCTCTCTCAGTCATCCTCGAGGGTAAAGCGTTAGTGATAATCGAAAATTTGTGTATTTAGGTAGTTTTGTGAGCACTTAAGATGTAACGGGTGAAATCTTCAATCATATGTGGAAGTTATAGCAACATACATTAATCTAGGTCACTACTGGAGTCGTCACGTGTTAGTCTGGACGTCGAATATCAGCTTCTCAACGCTCCGGTGTACATAGTCCTACTCTAACCCTTGCAACATTGGGATGTGCAGTGACTTTTTGTATTCGACCATCAATCTAGTCACACGATTGCCTGCTCTTGATGGCGAACATACAATTGCTATGTGTAAGTAATTCTGCAATTCAAAAGAGTGTGCTTGAACTATTTTGAACACCAGCTTTGGTAGTTTTGGAAAGTGCTACGAATATTATACCAGAAGCTTGTAAGCGGGTGAAGAAAGTAGAGAATTTTCCAGTCTGTAAGATGAACATCAGTATTAGGTTAGTATCTATTGATGTATCATAATTCCTCAGATGGGGTTCGAGAGATCTACGACTCAGTGGCCCAACAAGTTATTAGAGGGGATTCGGAATAGAAATTAGCTGTTGTCCCATTCTACCTTCTACTTGCAAATCTATTATACGAACGCTGACATAAATATACTTGACAAGTGTGTTTACCTGTTTTATTCCACTTTTCTTTATTTTACATCCTTTTTTTGGTTGTTTGATTATATAATGTGGAGCAAATTTTATTGCCCATATTGTACTAGTATGTGTCTAAATCATGAATACCAATAATGACAAACGTCTTTGTTGTACGATCTGAAGGTCCTGAACATCTGGACGGATTTCGCTATTTGATAGCACTACATTAGGAAAACAACATTGTTCAATGTTCCTTGGTTTTCAGTGAGTCACTAGGTGATATCAATCCAACGTGAAAAGTAATTGAAAATAATTTACACCAAAAGTAAAAATGATCCGGAATCATGGAAAGCAAACAAGCCATAGCTTGAAGCCTAAACAGATCGCTTTGTGCGGTAGATCTGCGATAAGCTGATGTGTTTAATAATTCGATAATATAACAGTAATCAAGAACATAAATTACGAACAACCAGATAAGTCTGTCAATTGATTCAATAATAGATAAGTGGGTAGATAAGCAGGTTTTTTGGAGTGGACAGAAACTTATCTACTGATGATTGCAATTGTCTTATCAGTATAATTGACTCACTATAACACACTGCCATCGTAAATTTGAATGTATGGTGTTTAATGGACATTCGACAAACTATCTAAGTTTTGTACCAATGTGCAGAAAAAGAAATTCCATTGCATCTCTGGCAATGAGAAGCTACCGCATATGCACTGAAGATACATTGAATAAGGAACTGGAATCCTTCAGAAAAACTCTAACCAAAAATGGATGTCCAACTTGCTTCATCCATAAACATCTAAAGAGAAACACCATTACTCCTCGAGACTTGGATTTACCGAAGAAACAACTGAGGGAAATACAATTAGTGAGGTTTTTCGAAGCCACCTGTTAAGAGCATTCCGTCTACCGTTCAAATTTTTTCACTTCAAGATCATTGCTACAATATACATAAACGATTCAGATTATCAGTTTTTTGAACTAATTTTAAATCGCAATCGACCAGCGAAGCAATAATATCATATCCGCTTAAATTTTTGGGGACAATTTACAATATAATAGTGTAACAGTGAAACAGTCTGATAAGTCTTCAGAGTATCATAATATTGCTCCCTTAGGTGAGACATAGGGCTTCAACTGAAGCAAGTCTACACTTTGTCCTATTTTCTACGGTCTTCCCTAGCTAGCCTCACGATCACCCATAGTCTCTCATCTTCTCACACGATCTCCTCCGTGTCACCCTCGAATGCCTTACTTCATGTTTCCTATTCGGGTTTCACTGCAGGGCCTGGAGTGCGACGTCATTTGGCGGTCTCCTCAGTGTGTCCCATCCATCTCAATTTTCTTCTACATGTTTGTTGAGCAATAGGTTTTTGCCTGTTGCTTCAATCCCAGATCTTCTTGGTGCTAATTTTTTTGGGCATTTGATATTCAATATGGAGTCAGCGAAGACAGCTGTTGATAAAAGTCTACAATCTGCTGGAAATGCTTTTCGTGACGCATTCTCTAAATCTCTGACCCATACAGAAGAATTGACTGACTTAACATTTGTGTTGAAAATCCAAATTTTGTTGTTTATGCGGAGTGCTGAAGGTCTGTCTTGCCTTTCCGATTCTGGCCGGCTTTGACACCTTCATCCGTTCCTCCTCTGGTTGAAACGATGTTTCTCGAGATAAGACATCAATATCTGGAATGGTAGACACTCATGATATAGTTGAACACAAATGAAATTAATTATTCTTGAGGATGATAGTGGTTGACGTCCCCTCTGATGACACTTTGTCAAACAACTACATGAAATTTCAAAGGAATCCCGACATGATGTAAGGTGTACAAAGACAGAAACTGTTACAAGCCTTCTGAAGTGTCCCTGAAGAATAAAACGACATTTATTTTGATATTCCATAACTTCATAAACAGCAAAAATTGTAATACTAAACATTACGTCAAAACTGAAATACCTCCCTCCTTCAAGTTTGCAACTGGTCGACTGTTACTGGACTCCAAATAACTTAGGTCAGTATCATTTTAGTGAGTTTATTAAACAAACTGAGTCACATGCTAATTATCACAATACTTTCGAAGTTACTGTAAACTGTAATGACTGAGTGAACATACAGGGTTCAGTACTTGATACAACTAAGAGTAAATTGGAATATGTGGTGCCATCCCAACTATGGCCCAAGACAAAAACTGACATAAAGCACCTAAAAATAGATTTACATACACAGTTAATAAGAGGCACTGAGAGGATGCTGAAAAACTAACAAACAACTCACTTTACTCATACGATGGTGTGCTTTAATTTGGGAACTATGTAAATCAGTTGTGAGCATGATAATTGAGAAAGCCAAAACGTAAGCAGTATCTGCTGAGACAAACAAATCATTAGTTGGATTGCACGCATAATAACGCGCCGCAAATTTCTCCATAAGTCGATCAATTTTTTGTGCTTCACCAGGTAAACGGAATTCTGACAAGAATTCTCTTTAAATTAAAACAAACAAGCAAATTTGTTACAGGAACTGTAGACTATTTAGGAATTAAAGTATTATTCATTATCATTTCTCACTTGTCAAACAACTATTGGAAAACACCGAAGATTTAAAAACAGTTATTCCACTTCACTTTGGAAAGTTTTTTGAAAACAAGTACCTATGAATATCTTAGAGAACATACTGGATAGGAAATTTTCACAGCCATTAGAGAATACAGTCATGAATATGGACCGATGAAGAGTTCAATGCAAAATTTATGTATAACTTCTTGGTTCATAATGGTTGTTACATGGATCGTTTAGTTATAAAAAACGGAGGATTATCAATGTGCTGACTGGATTACTTGAGGGTCCTGTTATAATCTACTCTGGAACAATCAGTATATACCATTAGGTTCAGAAATGGAATAAAAGAGCAGTTGAATGCACCACGGTTTTGAATACCTACCCAACTCATGGAAGTTTGTGACCGAAGTCAAATTCAAAACAATATATTTCCGAAAATCATTCGACTGAAGAAGAAAAGTGACAATTAAGGGCTTCTATAATCAGTCTTCGCAACGACCGTTAACAGTGGTGGGCAACGAAAGCGAGAGAGATGGAAAACGCATCAGAGATAGGTAACACCAGACAACCATTTAAGCCTATCAGAAACACGTGGCAAAAGGCGATTGATAAATGAGACGATCTACGAGAGAATTAATGCCCTAATTAACTCGCAGGATAGATGACTAGAACGGTGGAAAGAACACTTTGAGGGGCAGTTTGACTGGCCTACAACCACGCTCAACTTACGCAGCATCCAACACCTCCCTGAATGGGATATTTACACAGGCCCTCCGTCCCTAACCCTAACTGACGTTACAAAATCTGTCTCTATTCTGAAACGAGGTAAAGCAGAAGGACCCGATGGAATGACTCCAGAAGTGTTTAAGGACGATGGAGACAACATACTACCTGCGTTAACTAAGATATTAGGCAACGTTTGGGAATCAGAAGAAGTCCCGTTAGGCTGGTGAAAGTCACTGATTACCCCGATATACAAGAAGGGAGATGGGTCTTCCTGTGATGATCACAGGGGGATTAGCTTGACTAATATGGTATCTTAAGTTCTAGGCTCAATAATAATGCGTAGACTAAGTGGTGTTCGGGAGAAATAAACATGAGAAAATCAGGCAGGCTTTAGACCAGGAAGAGGGTTATTGATCATATCTTCACCCTTTGACAGATTCTGGAACACAGGTTGCATACTTGGCGGCCTCTAACAATTGCCATATTTCTTCGCCTGAAAGCGACATTCGATTCTGTCAACCGAGATGTACTATAGTAGTGTTTGGTTGTGAAGGGAATGATGAGAAAATACATTGCACTGATCAAGGCACTCCATACGAACTCATGCAGCCAACCAGGTGAAAGCCTACGGCGAGTTGTCATCTGAAGTGGTGACTGCTAGTGGGGTCCTTCAGGGATGCCGAGTGTCCTCCACTTCTGTTTAGTTTCAGCATAGATGCACTAATGAACCTAACCTTGATTTATCACCAGGTGATAATCTCGTTGAAGACGCTGACAAAATAGTCCTCTGAATACTTTGAGCAGCAATCTTCGAAGGTTTGGCATACGATTCGCTTCTGTCAAATGTAGGATGATACTACAGCACTGAACCATATTGACTTCCAGCTTCCTTAAACATAGGCACGAGTGAAGTGGTAGAGCGTGTTGACCACTTCACTTATTTAGGAAGATTCATCAACCAGCCCTAGCGGGTTGATCGCTAACGAAATCTCAGCATAGATACAAAAGGCTCATGTAGGGTATGCCAGCTTACGCCATCTCTGGCTCAGTAGACGTGATATCCGAATGGCTATCGATCGAGGGACGTGTGTACTGCTCAGTAGTTCTCTCCGTCCTCCTTTACGACTGGCTGTGAGTGAGACATGACTATTGAAAGTGGAAGACATGGGAAGCCTGGCTAGCTGTCTTTAATCATATGTGCCTCCGTTCTATCTCCCGTGTCAGATAGTGGTATGTAGGGTAGGGTATATATATTTTTTTAATATTGAGGTTAGGCATCGGTCGAGTGCTAGGTAAGAAGACGAAATCAGTAGACGAGGTGGTTATATATCGATTAAGATTCTTAGGGCATGTCTTACGCATGCGCCTAGCCAACGCCTTCCTCGACTGACGGCTAATGTTAGCCGACATAGGATGGATCAGGTTGGAAAAGAGCTAGTGGTGGTCAAACCAAAGCATGGCTTCATCAGTCAACCAAATCCATAACAGTTAGTTTAAGCCAGCCAATCACGTAGGGAGGTGTAGACCGCCGACAGGCTGATTGGGGTCCTTGGGATGGTAAGAACCAATGAGGACTGGAGACAACTGGAGACATAACTCCAAATCGTTTTCAATGTCTGGCACAGATGCATTCATTCGTTGTGATTTGTCATATCCCATAAGACTCTATTGTTCTTCCATATTAGTATTCATTTTCACCTCACACTTCTGTTTATTATCTCTCCTTACTGTCTTCTCTTGCTATGTGTGCTACATGGAGAGAGAGAGAGAGAGAGTGGTAACTCGAACTGCTGCACTCCTGTGCAAGAGTTTTGTGTTGGAACCAATCAGTTAGTCACAATTGGTATGGTTATGAACAGCTGTATGTGAAATTTTATCCAGTGAATAACATTTTTACTGTGTAATACACCAAATAATAAATGAAATAATATGGTTACTACAATTTTTCTACACTTTTGTCCTGCACATCATTGCGATGACAAAATATTTTGACTTCCACAGGGCTGTGAACAGATTCATGACAACAGCCTAAGGTTCCTAAATATTGTGGATTCATGCATTCAACACGATGGATAATCTTGTAAATGTGTTTTCTCTATCAATGGAAAAATAAAAAAATGGAAGTTTGGAACCTCACAGAAGAGTGTATTGATCTACAGTGGAAAAATGGCTCATTAAACAGAATGAATTCAGTAGTTGTAGTTTAAGAGACAATTACTGCTAATTAGCTCACTAATAACCAGTAGTGGCAAAAAATATTTTGGCACATACCTTTTAGTTTGTAAGAAACTTTTTACAACAACAAATTAAGAAGCATATAAGAAACTTGATGCTACTAAACAAGTAGTCAATGTTTTCTTAGAAAGATCGAATCATTTGTAGTGGAACTCACTGCTCTCGATTTTCATCAGACTGTTAAAGCAATGCCTATAAACTTGTTGAACACCGTGTATATTTCAGTTATTTAATTGTTAATGGTCAGTATAAAGAAGTGACAGAAAGCCGAATGTCACTCAACAATCACTTGCATTTAAATGCAGTTGGGGATGGGCTATTCCTATTGTTTGGTGGCTATTGACACCATCTGACTGCCGAAACCTCGATAGATAAGGCAGGGTTTGATCATGTGACTGAAATCTTAATGAGAGCAACATAAAGGTACCCGTGCAAAAACAGAAATCAGCCGTTCAAAACAAATAAATTTAGTATAATAAACGCGTATATACAGATAAATGCTAATTAGAAAGACACTAAATCTCACCTCAGAGCTGGAACAAAACTTTTGTCAGTGAAATCAAATTGATCTACATAAGCATACATAACACGCAAGTTGTACGGTTCATTTTCACCAAGAAAATCACCTACACGTGATTTTGATAAACGTTCTTCAGTTAAAAGAAATTGTGCTACTGACTCAATGGACTCTCCAATCAATCCATTCTCTTGAAGCAGTCTTATACAACGCAATGACTGATTTTGATTAAATAATGCTATTCCTGATTCATAGATTTCTTTTTTCGCCTTACGAGATTCAAATGCCTCCGGATCATCACATGGTTTATTTACACCTAGTTTCAATATGAACGTATATGCAGGGATTAGCTTTATTACTTTGATAATATTAAAGGAAAAGTCAAAAGATGTGAATACAAATCAGATATAATTTGTTATCTGAGACCACTGGTAAATAAATATAACTAAGTCACAGAGTCTAAACAACTTAGGCGATGGTCATAAGTTATGAGTACACTACAGTAATAGACGTTAAAGCATTACAGTGACATGTGCGTCGGTGGCACAGTGGTTAGGACTCTCGCCGACCATGCACATGGTCCGGGGTTCGATCCCCTGCCGGCGCACACCCGATATCTATGGTCGGCCTGAATTTGGGCTACCGATATCCATGCTAAAAATTCCATACTTGTACTGAAAATACGGTGTGGAATCAAGCTGTAAATCAAAATAAAATAAAATGTGAACGAAACGCAAATATCTTAAACTGAGCGAAACCGTGTAGAGCAGGTAAATGATACATTATTTACACTTATTCAAACACAGAAACAATAAAACACACTATGTGGAAAAGAAGTACAATGCTTGAGGAACAGGAACATGAAAACAGACAGATTAGGGGATATTCATCAATTCGCCAATGATCACCATTGTCAGCCATATCTGGCGATGATGCCTGAACCCCTTATTCGACCTGTCTCCTGGAATCCACCCAGCTACTCGTGATGTACCAACCAATGCCAACTCAATACAATCATTCATCTCGTGGCGACACCTCACGAAGTGACCGCCTCTTTACCTTCACCACTCAATCACAGGGATAGCAAACAGTGAACAGTATGAGGGCCACCGGGACAGCATGTTAAAGCGATTGAAGTTAGTGTCCCTCATACACCATTCAGGCTTGCGGATGGAGAAAATACTCACAAAATTTCACTAGGGCCTTGAATACGAGTCTCTGGGAAGAGGTACATATCAACAGTTTTTCACGTTTTTAGCTAGGCTTACCTGATGCCTCATTTGCAACAATGTGTGAACAGTGTGAGTGGCAAGCCTGAATGTGACCCCCAGTTTCAGAGTAGCTTTCTGAAGATAACCAACAACTCGAAACATAACACATACACTGAGATTACAAACAATAACGAAAGTAAAGGAATTAAAAACCGCGATGATAAAAACAAAACCTAACTGATTTATAGATGAGGATAAAAGTGTAGCGATGGTGGATGAAACGGCTAAATGTATCGTTGATGAAGTCATTTGCGAGAGTGTACATGATTTTTGTGAGTGCTAAGATACTGCCTAAACCACAGCTAATGGACCACTACCTGAGGTAGTAACTCAGGACACATAAGATACCAATAATCATCGGAACAAACTATTTAAGAGAACATGGTGAAGGCTAATATTCAAAAGTCACACATTAAACGTTACGATTTGAAATATATTCCATGTAGATAAGTTACAAACATTTCTTTCGATACACTGACCTACTGATTTAACCTTGCATTTCCTCGATTTCTATGCAGTTAATTCTATTTTCAAGCAGTGCATTGAGATGAAGCACATTTGAAATGGTGTAACGCGATTTAAGAAATTTAATCGCCCTTATGTATAAGGATATTTTAGCTGGAAATAAATTAAGGTAACAGGCGAAAAGTTACGACAACATACTTTTGTACCACATAATGCAACTTACCAGCATTCGGCATATTTTTGCCTAGCTTACAGGTATATCGTTATTGTTTTAGTGAAACCCAATGTATGTGATTTGACGATTATCACTGACATCGTATGTTCGACCACTGGTATCTCTGTAGGATAACTTACATCCAATGAGAACGCCATATGAAAAATTGCCAAGACTGACTGACGCAATGAAGAGAGTTATACTTTAAGTAATAGTACTCCGAAATAATAGATTCAGAGGTTCTATTATCTGTTGTATGAATTTAAATATCGAAGAACTCCATATACATTTGCGATTTGACAATCGAATTGATCAAATAAACACTATTATTCCAAATCCTAACTGGTAGCTCTAATACTTCAAGTCAACGAAACTCCATGACTAACAGCAGTACCTTAAGGTAAAAACGCAAACTACGTAAACATTGGTCTGCGCGATGTTAGAGTATTATGAGCCATCAAACTAGCAAACAACTGTATCAAAAAACTTATAATCAAAAAAGTGGCAAATAAAACATTACTCACTCAATAGATGCATGTTAGGATTGGCGTCCAAGCTGGGATTTTCTACTGAATTAATACTGTTTCCACTATTCGGTAACACTGTTGGTTCCGAACCCAAAAACGACTGAGATTCTGGATTGACGTACAACTCCTGCGACCATTCAGTCATGCAGCGTAAAATTAGTACGAGACACTCTAAACCACTCGACCGTAAAACTTGTTGCTGTTGCTGCAATTGACTAGATGATGACGTATTATGATTACCATGTTCTGTCGTAACATGACGTCCTTGAGCTATTTTAGCAAGATTAGTCGTCAATCTTTCAAATATATTGACCATGCTTAGATCACAATCATAATTAAGGTAAATATCAACTAAGCATTGTGCATCACCACATATACGCTTTAGTGCATCTATAACAACCAGCTTGTGTCCATATGATGATTTTGGTGATTCTAGGATTAGTAGGAGCACATCTTTGAAGAACACTTCAATTTGACGTTTTAAGTGTGGCTTAAAGTACGTCAGCAGGGCAAGAAAAATAGCAACAGACAACTCAAATACTTCTACAATTGGTGACGTGCCATTTTTAAACAAAGCTACACACAAGTATTGTTTAATAGCAGCTATAAATATTTCACTAGTTGAAAACAATGGGCCAGGTTGTTGTAGCAAACTAAGTAGTAACTGTAGTGACAAGGATTTCGAACGAACCGCGTGCGATTTCGTATCACTTGAGTCAGAGCCAGTAAAATCTTTCACTGCTAGACGACACAAACTACGAAAAACAAGAAATGCATCCTTTTGTGTGATATGCGCTGAATTGACAACCTCAGAGTTACTTTCCATTAACGATATACCATTATGATCTTTTGAATCCACCTCGGTTGCAATAACGTCAGCGCCCACTGGAGTAACACCAGTTGGCCATTCTTGATTTATGCTTGTATTGACAGATACTGAAAGAGACGAAGAAGAAGAACGAGACAGAGAATGTACAGAGGACTTCCGTATATCAGGTAGGGATTCGGAATTCGGTAAATGAACTGATGTTGTCGAAGAATCCTTATCATCACCCTCATCATTATCTAACGTAACTTTTTCTATTATTTCTTCTAGAATATCCGCGACAATTTTACACACTTCTGATTTGGAAGTATTGTCTTTTCTTTTCATAGGTATATCAGCATCATCATCGTCACCAGCAGAAGGAAGAGAAACGCAATTGTCCGCGTAGGCATCACCGTTCAATAATTTCTCGCCATTTTGACCTTCCTCCTAAATTTTACGATAAATATATGACAGATAAATATTAATCCATTTAAGGTAATGAATACTCTTATTTTAACATTATTCATTTGGGAAACTGTGAAATACGCTGCATAAAGTTACGTAAATTTATGAACATGAGGAGGCAAACGTGAAAAATAGTGAGATTGAAGCACTGAAATGAAGCCGCGTTGAGCCAAAATATTTGCCCCTTCGACTGATGAATAGCTTAACTTTTTTTCGTAAGTATGGAAACACTGAATATACAATAATTTTCAGTGTTTAACTGAACTTAATGTTTTAGTTTTGTAACTTTTCTGGTTACTCTCTGCCGATATGTAAATAATTTTTACTCCACAGCATGTTATAGATTGATTATTTATTGCATTTTGCAATCACTTTCAGAAATAGCAGACAATATACACAAAACATTTTCTGTGTTATTTCAGAAAATCAATAGAATGTTACGGATGGGAGCGTACTCCAGTAACTGAAATCTAGTCATTGTGACGAAGATTGATTCCTTATCTAACTGCATTTAAGGCGTGGTGATAAATAAAAGTGGACAAGAACTTTAAACTAAAGAGTTCTTAAGGATTGCTTAAATACATCTCAAACTGAGCACATTCATATACTTCTTTGTTTAGTAGTCAAGCTTCATGCATTATTGGATGAACCTAATCAGCACTTGATACATTATATCACTCACTTTTAACAGCCAATTAGTACGGTACATAACTATCACTACCCGCTCACATAACATTAAGTGGGGGGAGGGGCAGATTGATGGTAGTAACAATTTTCTTGAAAAAGGAGGCTTACTTTTTGAAAACTCACATTATTTTCAGATATTTGTGGCAAACTGCTTGTAGATAACTCTTCACTATTTTTGAGATTATCAGTAGAATTCAAATCAGATTGGATGCAAACATTTGAACTCATTGCAACTGCAGCTTCAAATGCATTTTGTTCCATCCGCTGAAATAATACACTAATTATCTGGGTGAGAGTTGCACGTGCTGTTGCTTGATTAATTGGATTTTTCGTTGCCATAAAAATATTATAGCAAGTTCTTACAACCAGAAGGATATCAGCCTCATGAATTTCTACGACTGAACTCGTTATTACTGTTAAAAGTGCTTTTAAAATTTGCAACTGAATCCCATCATCTGTTTGTACACCCTTTATGAGATGGAGAGAAAGTATTTTGTAAAGTATTGTAGCCAGTTTGCAGGAATAACTAAGATAATATTGAACAACTTTACATACAAGTCAAAAGTTGTATACCTTCCAATAAATTGGTGTGAATCACACCTATTGTGTGAGAAGTAGAATTTGTCATTCTACAGTTAGCTTATTTGTTTGGGTCACTGGAATAAAGCTTGATAAATTAAAAAGAAACAATACGAATTATAGAAAGAATAGGAATTTATCACCTCTAATATTTATGTACGTTAAGGAAATTTACTTGAAACTAGATGATTTACCTCTTGAAGGCATTTCTCAACAAGTTAATTAATCTAATTATTTAATCTGTATTTTAAACCCGTTAAATATTCAGAATCATCAAAATATTTATCAACTGGGATCCAGTCGAGAAGAGTGTTTCTTGACGTTTGATTTTATGCTGTGCACTCATATGTATAACGCCGTATGAACTGTGTGTCGAGGTCAAACACACCTGAATGGTGAATCTTATAGACTTCCTACACCCATGTGATGTAGAAACACAGTATATAACTACGATCAGTGTTGACAAAATCTTGATTCTTAATTTCAAACGGACTTGAAATATGAACGGTTTCGATAGAAATTTCAAGAAAGCAAAGAAACTTTGTATGGTCTTTGGTAGTAGACAGGGCTTATACTGGTGACATAAGGTGAAGACAGTGAGTATTGAATGGCAAAAAGAGACAAAGGAAATCCACGGAATATTAATAAAGACGTGATCACCAAAAGTATCTAAGTTTTACTAGAAATCAGAGATTAATTCTTCTGGAGAAAACGGATGAATTGGTTGATATTGATAGTCTTACCCAAGAATTGTGTTTAATCTTAGTTATATGTGGCTTTTTTTGAAAAATGTGATTAAAATTTTAGAGCTAGGCTTGCAATATGAAAATGTTCACTTGTAGCGAGATCCTATGGAAGTAGGGGTAGATATTATGTTTAAAATTAACTTTTTCTAATCCCCAACGTTCTTCAAAAACATTTTATATTCACTTTCGAATACTTATTGACATTTTCTATGAAATAAAATACAATTATAAGTTGACTCAGTGGTATCCAATATATCCCTTTTGTCTTGATTGTAGTCAGATGTGAAACGTAGCCTTTAAGCTAGGTGATGTGAGATTGTGATAACATCAGTGAAGTAATACCAGAACGCTTAAAGAATGCAGTAAGAAGGACATTCAAAGCCACGGAAATACACTGTCTCGCCACAACAACTCCAATTTTACGTTCGGAAAGTAAGAATAAAGTACCTGATTTCGCCTCTACTATATATATTCACTGATTTGACTGCTCTTTTAGACCTAGTTACACTGGGCATATTCATCATCAGATTTCTGATCATCCCTCATGGTTGGGTAAGAAACAAACAATATCTCACTTTGTAGGTACTGAACATAAAGTCGACCTTAACAAGACATTTAAGGTTATCTGCCGTATTCCAACTAATATTAATTTTGCTTGACGAGTTCGCTTTTTACACATAGCTGAGGCCGTCGGAGTCTACCTGAAGAAGCCCAACTTAGGTCTTCAGAAGTTTGTACAGATGTTTTTCTTACCTTAGTCATCATTAATTGATTGTAAAACTATAATAACTTCTCCGTCTTCTGAGCCTTTTAGAAGCTACCATTTTAACTAGCTATAAATGTCCCATGAATTTTCTTCTTAATTTTATCCGATATTAAATTTAGTATTGTATTTTTATACATTTTAACAACTACACATGTTTATGAACTGTAATACTATCTATCTTAACAACTCAGTATTATTTAAAAGACATCAATGCTGTCGATAAAAATTAACCTTTAAATATCATGTATAAATCACAGTAGAGCTAGGTGATGAAGTCGCCGAAAAGAATATTCTTTGTGCAATCTGTTTATCTTCTAAATGTTTGAATGGGAATTTTCACAGCATTAAACGATGAATCTTATCTACAAGAAGCCCTGGAACTATTTTCGTGTTAAATGGTATTCTTATCGGCAAGATGAATCTGCAATCCACGCGAAAAACATGTCTCCCCCAGATTTGGACCTGTGTCTCTCAGTGTTGAAGTCGGTGATTCTTCTCAGAGTTTAACATATGATTAAAGTGTAACATAGTGCGCATCAGTCTTAAGTCACCTAGATTAGTGGCCACACCGTACACCTAGTTGGCATATTCCCACCTATTTGTATATATTAGTCAGTCTGGTAGTCAATTGTAACCCGAGTAGCTTAGTCATAAAGCTACTGGCTTCAAAAATTACTGACACACTGAGAATATCGGAGACTACATGTCATCCCTGACACAATTTGCTGATGAGTGCCAACTTATGACCTTCTTGCCAGCTCACCCTACTCAAAGGAATACACGATTACAAGCATTTCGCAACAGTTACTTACTGGGAATGCCCAAGAACCACGCTACTGATAAATATAAGCGAGCAAAGGAAGATGTGGTGGGTGCGTAGTATATTAAAATATCTTAAGGAAACTATTTTTTCAGAGAAAATAAAGAATAGAGATTGTTACTCACTTGAAAACATGAACAAATTGTCGTTACAACCTGTTCAATTATGCGAACTTTTCCAGAGGAGCAAACAGCTGTGTTTGAAATATGTCCATAAGCAATTAACTTTTGTAATGAGTCAATTGCCGTGCTGACAATTTTTGGTGATTTCATTGTGCAAGCCAACTGGAAAGGGCGAAGAAGTCGCTCATCACTTAACAATATACCACAGTCAGACTTGAGAGGAGGCAAATGAGTACTAGACTCATTAGGTGGAGACAACTTGTTGTTCCCTAACACCTGTGGTTGATCTTTTAGTAGTACAAGAGCTTCTTCACATGCCTTTTTGACAGCTGAATTGTGAGATTTACGGGTTTCCCGTTCATTAGCTATTTTTTCAATAGATCTGACAAGGAACATATTAAAGGCCTGTGTTGATATTGAAAACTGGGGCTGGGGTACTTGAGTTGTGTTTTCGGGTTCAGGAGTAGAACTAGTAGCAGGTTGCTTATTTTGTGTATAATTTCTCAAAGAATTGGATTTATCCAGTTTGTAATTTTGTTCGTCTGGATTTCTTGATGAAACAGAGGAAATCGCCAGCATCTCATTTAACTGTCACCGAGACTTCAGTGTTTAGCTTGAACATTTAGCCATTTAATATTAAAAGAAAGACTGTACAATTTCCAAAAATCCTAAATGAAAATGAAAAAGAACAAAAAGCAAAATTCAGATAAATCAAAACAATAAAACAGACTTAACACTCAGGCAAAATTCAACTATCTGTAGGTCTACGAACTAGTCAACGAATCATCCCTACGTTATGGTAACAATATCGAATACTTATAAAGGTCATAGTAGATACTTTGGGCACATACCCCAATGGCGGGATGTCGATTATCTATATCACCAACTTGAAGTGTTGTATAGCCAAATGTTTGGTCACAGGAAACGCTAAATTTGAAATCAGTATCATTTGCCTCCCCTGATATAGACATATGAAAGTGAAAAATAATACTTGAGACAATATATGCCTTCTTCCTCTAGACTATCAACCACGAGTATTATGTAAAGGTAAATCATAATACGTGGACACCGAAGTCTTGATGCATGAAGCTGGAAGTAAAAGTGGATTGGTTAAACTTGAAAGGCCACACTTCAATAAATGTAATGATATTTCACTTATTGAATAGAAACATTTTGATACAATATGAACCCGATAAAGAAACTTATTTTTAACCTAATAGTAGAATGGTTTTTCCTTCTAAGGTTAATGAAGTGTGTGACAGAATGGCTGACCCAAAAACCAAACCTGGAAAATCTATTTATTTGCTGAAGTTATTTGCTGGAACACTTCTTTTAAGTTCCAAGCTATGCACCACACTTACTGTGTGAGGCCTGGTGATACTACCCATTTGCTAGGGCTCAAGTGGGCAGGGCAGGGCTCGAGCAAGGCGAGCATTAAAGCCAGTGAGCCCTTTCCAAATAATTCCGTATTTAATAACCTATTATCCCGACTGATTCTAACATAAGTATAGCCTGTCCAGAGCTAATCTTTATTGCATCCTAATTAAATCACCGCTTTACTAACCAAACAAGACATAAAATGTCCCACAAAAATACTATAATTCGCAAAAATCTCTCCTAAATCAATTGTAATCATGACAGAAAGAATCCTAATTGTCCACTGCCATGGAGACACGACCGGGCTAAATTCAACAGATCCATGTAACCTCACATATGAGGATAAGTTTGAGTAAAGAAAAAGAAATGAGAATGCCGACGAAATGTTTAAAGCGAAAAGGATTTTAACTGCTTGAAATATTGAGCACCGAGTTGTTATCACTCAATTTTATAATGGTTCAACAAGGATTGTAACTACTTAGATCATAATTGGATGCATAATCTTCAAAGTCTAATATTATATCCACTGTATTGCAACAGTGAATTACGTCATGGATTATTACCGTGTTTTCATCTGATTGACCCTAACTGCTCCACTCCACTCCTAATTCATTGAATATCAATATCATCAACAATGACGGTGGTTGGAGTAATTCATGTTCAGCCACCTTAATAGACGGAGCTGCACAGTGTCATCAATCTACTTTCTCTCTTTATTTAACGCTACCGACCATATTGATCTACCTACTACTACGGGTGACTGAACGCAGGCACCTACCGTGAAAAGCTAATATTTTCACATCTTACATTTCTAATGATCATATCTCACACTCGTCAAGTACGACTAAACGAACTGCTACACAGTAAACGCACCCGTACCAAGGATGACACAGACTAACGGACGCTAAGTGAGCCTAATATATCCATGCTAAGATATTTCCAGCAGATCAGTACATTAGAGCCAATGCAAATCCCCATTCCAAATCAGTGAGGTGTTCAACACAACAATTTCATGACCTACCCTTGAACTAGCAGTCGGTGAAGACAAGTCCTGAAGCATTTCATATGATTGGGTCAAATCGCATGACGAACATGCTCGCACTTTGGTTCAAAGTTCTCAAAAGATTGCATTTCACCAATGTGTACACTTAAAAAATTTATTATCTCCGTACTTTAGATCTACGAAACTTTCTTTTATGGTTAGTAAATCCCCGGATCATCGAAATCGATTAGACTTAAGTCCATTAGAACACTCATATTGAAATGGAACCAGAGTGGTAACAGCGAATATCCCTGACACCGCTGGTTGTTTCCACTCCAGATGACAACACTCAACAGGCTGCATAAGTTCGATTAGAGTGCCACGACTATTACAGTAGTATTTCTCGATACCCACTTTACAGGAAGATCTTCCCATAGCACCTCTCGATTGAAGTAACCAGATTTTGCTCTCAGGTCAAGAAATATGAAAACCTCTGAATTCTTCTAAGTTCTTGTGGGAAGGTGGTGATGGTTAGCTAAAAAGCTACAAGGTGCCAAAATTTACGGCTATATTTGTCTACGTCTTCAACAAGAATTCCCTATAAGCATTTAGCTTTTTAGACCACCGACAACTGCTGATTATGCTGTGAAAATCGTAAGAGAGAAACCTTTTAACAACCCGTTTTCTCATAAAGGTATTGAGAGTATAGCCACTGCTTAAGGGGAGTGGCTTTGTCTCAGTTCGCTCTATGCGGTCAAGACAGTTTGCAGTGAGATAGATAACAGTAGAACTGATGACTCCCTTGGATAAGAAAATTGCTTCAAAAATAAACAATGCTCTGAGTATTGTAGGACCGATCAATGTAGACAAAACTTCTATGGACAAATGCCATGAGCTTTGCTATGTTGAAGTGAACCTGCTGGCCGCAGAGCTGATAAGCTACAACCTTCTGAACACTTCCTGGGAACTACTGGTCAGTATGTATGGAGCGCTGATCACGAAGATTACGACTAGCATATGGTTTCTTGTAGCTACTAAATGCGTGTGTCTGTCAAGTAATCCGACAGCCAGACCACACGAAAGATACGCAACAGTATCTATAGGAAAGTAGATAACACCAAAATATATTACCACAACACTCGCAATTGTCTCCATTTATTTTAAAATTGACTTACTTCGGGAGAGATTTTTGCCACTAGTTTGATTAAGCTATGAGAATCTGAGCACCACTTGTAACTTCTTGAACCATGGCTTTTAGACCCACTCTTGAGAACTTTCAAGAAGTTGTCATATGATCGAGAGAAAAACATGAGATCGGAACCCAATTCGTTACTTAGAACACAAAACAAAACTGATGCGGAATATACAATTCTCATATGACATGAATATATTTAAGAGTTGATTTTCTGGGATTTGAATACGACTATATGCAGAGTCTTGAGGAAATATATACGACTCCCTGTACTACACATGAAAGGCCTTCAAGTCGGCTACAAATTGGACCAATAACGGTATTTTGGTCACAGTTTAACCTCGCCTATCTGCAAATATGCTGCAGTTGACTGAGAAAATGCAAACAGATTGGAGAGATGAACAAGTTTTAAAGTAATTCAGAAGGTCTGAACTCTCTACAAACTACATCACAACATGTGGACACACTAAAATCAAAAACGACACAACCCCAACTTACAAATAAGTACCAACGTCAAGCTATGTTTATAATTTCCGCTATTTACTCTCAATATCCAATGGATATTGGTGCAGACAACAACTCTCTTTCGTCAGGCACTTCTTTTCATTCTTTTCTGCTGATATGGTCATTTATGGTAGACGCTCTTGTTGAATAATCGTATGCTCGAAACTTTAGTGGTATAGCGTCAGGTAATTCCCAAACACTATTAACCCAGTACTTTCAGCATTCAACACTGGACGCTCACCTTCACTACTTCAGTTAACCGATTAGACCTAAGCACACCTTAGAGCATTCTCGTCATTCAGCAAGCTGTAGTGCTGTGCCCAGTTTTTATTGCACGTGATCTCCAGTTACCTAGGCAAGCATCCTTGCTCAACAGTAATGACCGCTTAATATACTCCATACTTTGCGCTATTCAATTTTTATTCTGCTAAATTTCGCTAACTGTTCTCCAACGGTGAACAGGTACACTAGGGGTTGGGGATAAAATAAGTGTATCGTAGGATCGTCCTTGCTTTTTAGAAACTTTGTCTCCTGAAATAGCTTCGTGTATGGAAACGGAAGCATGGGATATTCTGCTCATCTGAATTCGATGCCCGAAGGCAATTAAATGGTTATTTGCTTCTCCACAGACTTACTTGTGTACAGCATAGGAAAATAAAGATAAAGGGAACTTCGTGCATGAAGCCTGCCTGCCAAGAGGATTAACATTCAGTCTGAACGCATATCCCGGCATTCTAAATCTGTTTTGAAATGGGAAATACTTTCTACTTCATGAAATCCCACATCTGCATCGCCGGGCACAATTTCTTTCGTTAGTCTGCACAACTTGTACAAGTGAGGAAGTCATTGTTTCTCTCTAACTTTTTTGCATTTGTAGAAGTCGTGCAGTTTGTGGTTACCTGGCTTCTGACATGCTGTCAGTTACAAGTGGATCTTGGATATTGCGGAATTTGGCTGTTAAAATTTATTCTTCCTTATTATTGGTTGAAGTGTAAATAGAATTGCTGTCTTTGATAACAAGTGTTTGCAGCAATGAGACTTCGTCCATGATTCTAGACTTCCTCACTGTAACTTTTAGTATGCTATGGGTTTAAATCGTCGATCACTCGAGTACTTGCTCATTAATCTCCTAGGTATTTTCGCCTCTTTTCCAAAAAGCATCACTTAGAATGCTTTCTAACCAATCTAAGCTTCGGACTTTCTTGTCCGCTACGAATTTAAGCAAATTACGTCAACGTAAAAGGCTTTTGAAGCATACATAGAATGGTAGCACACCTTACCATTATTTTACAAATAACTCAGATGAGAAAGCATACTAGTTTATTCTCTCACCACCATTTTGCGCAAACGATTTTATTTATGTCTATGGCAGGGCAGTTTACAAGGCCACAAGGCGGTTGGGAAGCCCATTAGGATTGATACAACAGCGTAGAAATCAGTCCTTCTGATGCGGCAGAATCCATACCCCCAAAACACCTCACCGAGAACGGCCTTTTGAAAAGCCAAAATCTATCTGTATTTGCATAATCATCTGCCTGGACTGATATCTTTTTAAGAAATAATGGGGTACAAACAGCTCTAATGCCATGGGTACACAGAAATGTTCGATAACCCATGCTGCTTCTCTGACTGGTGCTCTTAGCGGAGCTATACTTTTGGAAGAACGAAAGGTTATTTGTGCTACTCAGCGAATTTGCAGATGATAATTCGTTGTACTAATCAATAATAATGATATCAACATGCTTCGAATATCAGTGTCGGCTATCAAACCGGTCTAATTCCCCTATATTTTATCTACACTATGCTTGAGTGCCAATAGGTATCTGTTTCAATTCTGTAATTTAAGTCATGAGAGTAGCCGAAGGCTACCATCAATGTATTACTTTGTTAAAGCTCTTAGTTGTTACGTATGCATTATGACGTACCTCTGTTGGGTGAATTTTTCATACTTATCTCTTTACCCCATCGTTTCATTTATGTCTCTTCATAAAGTATAAGCCGTCTAAATTAATTTTGTTTTTTGTGCTTTCTACAAGGTTATCTACTGAAAGTAGTATTCACACTGCCTAACATCCAGAAGTGTGCCATCAAACACTCATTTTTTTCTTAATTCATTATTTTTCATTTTTATGAAGGTTATTTTGAATCAACAGTTGACTTTCAGGCACTTTATTTGGAAGCGGAATGCCCCTGTGCTGCAAAATGTTTACGCAGTTTATTTCTTGAATGGAATGGTTCTGTGGCACCATCAAAGCTTCCGATTTTTATATTGTTACATTTGGAATAATTTGGTCCTTCGGTTCGTCTCTGTCCATGAAGTTTACAAATCCCTTTCTTCTTCTCAAGTTCTTGGTTGCGAAATAAGGTTCTTTAATGGGTTTTCATTTTGAAAGATATTGTCCTCTTGAACTCCGGCTCGCGACAATGTCCGATCAGCTGGAGTACTAGATGAATTGGAATGGTGTGCAGCCAGAAGCCAGAATAATAGAACTTTAAAGTACGGTAAAGTTTTATCGATATTTTTGACTAATAACATTGATGTTAAAGTGAGAGATGATAATCGGAGCGCAGAATGTTGCACCCTCTAACACAAAACTTGTGGTTAATTAACCATTTTGCATTTTGTGTCAATTAGATTGCTTGTGCTTCATTGAAATGTAACACAATTTTGTCCAAATTCACTGCGAGTTAACTTTGGTTCCAACTATTGTGCTCTTGGTGGATAACCTCGTATTTGAAGGTTTGTACAGTGTTTATCTGATACATTTCATTTCATACGGCGATAATCTTACAACTATTCAACAATATGTTGCGAACACAATTCCATTCGTAACAGTTTGGTTTTGTTTCTTTTCTGGTCAAAGACTGCAAGCTCACTTCCACAAGGATTATTCGAGTGATGCCGGTCACAATAAATATGACGTCCATCTGTGTGGCTCATGCAACGGTTCTGGTTTCAACTGGCACTTTTTGTCTGATTCGACATTTCTAGATAATCTGGAGATGGGTTTCATCTCCAGAGGAAGTTAAGGCTTCTCATTCAAGAAACTCTCCTGAATCGAATAAGGGCAACAGTTTAGGAAATGCAAGGATGAAGGCCACTGGCAGATTTAAGGGAGCCGCATACTTCTACTTGTGGTAGCATACATATATCCATGGTTTACATTATGTACATTGACGGAAATCCCAGTCAGTATAGACTGCTCTCTAGTGAGTTTAGAGGTCTTTCTTACAGGAAGCATATTATTGAGGAAGTGAATAAATACAGACTTTTATACGCGAAATGGGAAAACAGCCGCTCAAGCTTGTGTGGCCAGGATTGGAGACATAGAAGAATGATGGGAGCGCGCAAATATTTCAAGATCGATTTGGTTTGGGAATATGTGGCTGTCAATGTAGTTGAAGAAAGAACGATCAATTCATGGTTGTTTGCTCAAACCCAACTCCATATTTTGGCAGGAGTCATCGATACTGCAGTCATCGTTCTATCGTTCGCTGTTTGTTAGAAGACAGAGAAAAACCATCAGAAACTTTGTGTACAATAACCTTGTGGTTGGTTCTGTATTGGCGCAAGAATATAGGATTCTTGAATCACCAATTTGTGTTCTGGTTTTTCGCGTTGGTTATTGACAATAGTTTCTGAAAGTTTTCTAATAACAGCGTTAAGTCCAGGGTAGTTAGACCTGGACATTGACAGTGGCTGTCACGATTGTGGGTGATCTTACTAACCTTGTTGTGAAACTCATCATCGCGACGAGTTTCATCAGTTATACTTCAGACGTAAATAGACCTATAGTTCTGAATTACACTATCACCTGTTTTCCTGTCAACATGATTTGATATCATCGATAAAACCTCAGTTGCAATTGAAGGACTTGATTTTGGGGGTGAAAAAAAGGTATGGATCCCTATCTTGCCGGGGAGTGTCAAAGTATTTGAAGAACGAACGATCAATTCATGGTTGTTTGCTCAAACCCAACTCCATATTTTGGCAGGAGTCATCGATACTGCAGTCATCGTTCTATCGTTCGCTGTTTGTTAGAAGACAGAGAAAAACCATCAGAAACTTTGTGTACAATAACCTTGTGGTTGGTTCTGTATTGGCGCAAGAATATAGGATTCTTGAATCACCAATTTGTGTTCTGGTTTTTCGCGTTGGTTATTGACAATAGTTTCTGAAAGTTTTCTAATAACAGCGTTAAGTCCAGGGTAGTTAGACCTGGACATTGACAGTTTCTTATAGTTTTTGGAGGTATTTGCTGTATTTGATGGCAATTCGTCTTTCGTTGCGTCTGCAAGTCTTCTCTGGACAAGTGTTCTGTGGAACTTCTCTGGATCGTCTGGTTAAGTTCAATAATGCCTGGGCCAAGGAAAGGACGAAGCACTTTGGAGGCAGACGACAAAGTAAGTCATGATGATTCGTCTAATGTGTGTAATGTTATGTCTGATGTTATGTCGGACAAGCATGATGTACCAGCCAGGGAGATAAGTTGCTTGAAGCCACCGAAGTTCGAGCCTAGGTGCTTTGAAGGGAATCCTGCTGACTTTCCTCACTTTGTGAAAGAAATCGAAGTCATGCTAGAGGGTTTGAAACTTAGTGTAACTGATGTACTTACTGAGGTATTGTGCCGGAAGTGCGGCGAGTGCAATACAGTGCTGCAAGTTTCTGCCACCTAGGGAAGGATACACGGAGGCTATGCATATCCTGCGTCAAAGGTTTGCAAGACCTTCGATGATTGTGAGGAATGTATTCGAGGCTGTCAAGGGTAATGTTAGTCAATAACGAGGTGACTCCAAGGCACTCACTGAGTTTTTGGGTAATCTGATGACCTACAAGAATACGTTGGTTTCGATGAATTGCATGAGCGATCTGAACTCGAGTTCTGTCTTAGAGGTAATAGCGAGACGCCTACCTACTCGACTGCAAAGGAAATAGGTGAAGATAAGCTCTCGTAAAGAGGATGAAGGTTTAGAGCCAGGGTTTGACGATACACTGAGATTAGTGACAGATAATGTTAATCAGACTATGAGT